CTGGCGGAGATGCGGCCGCCTGCGCCAGCAGGCAAGGAGGAAGCGCAGGTGTTGCTTGCGCCAGGTGGGCGGGTTTGAGGAATATATATGGGCCGTTATGCACGGAAACTGGCAGGGGTGTGTGAATGTGCACGTGCGCTCATGTGCATGTGAATACAGGGCATAGAAGGAAAGTGCTCTAACACTGGCGCATGCGATTGCCTAATTACCAATGCACCGGCACAGGCGGGTGCGGCGGCGGCTCTGCGGAGGTTGGCCTGCCTCCACCACAAGAGGGGCGGCCGCTGGGGCAGCTGGGGACAGAAGACCAAGGGCTGCTTCAAAGCGGTGCGTGGTGGGAGTCATTGTGCAGGGGTGGAACCTAGTTGTTTGGGTCGGATGGGTCGATTTGCAGCACAGCAATAGGGTGGTTGAGGTGGGGGTGGACGACGCACCATCAGGGCATTCTACCGGCTGTCCACACTGCTACATATGATTCTTGCAGCATCACAATTGCAAAGGCAGCTCCATGCCGCAGCGCTCTACGCGAGCTAGCAGTGCCCTATGGCAAACGATTTGCCCCTCAACCACCCAAACGACAGGCGCATCCCAGAAGCAGCTGCAGCAAACAACAGCAGCACCAGCACAACGCATCGGTTCGTCCCCAGGAGCTGGAGGGGCGGCCGCTGGCGGCAGCAGCGGCGCCGTGGCCGGAACCGGGTGCATTACATACCACGGTCCACAGGCCCGCGGTGATGGCGCTCAGGCCCAGAGGGAGGCCGGCGCTGTCCACAGCGGCCTGGGTGGAAGCAGCAGGGGCGGGAACGTGCTGTCCTGCGGCGGCGGCATCCGCAGGATAGCCGCCCCACCAACACCTGGCGAAGCCGCGGCGCTGACAACCCCTGGCCCAGCACCTCCTTGCCACGGCGCGCCCATGGCTGCGGCTGCAGAGGTGGCGGCGCTGAGCGCTTTGCAGGCTGGGGGGCGGCCGCACGCGCCAGCAGCGGGCATGCTGTCAGGAGCAGCAGTGTGGTCAGGGGCCGCGGCAAAGCAGGGGGCCCAGAGCTTGGCAGTGGCCCAGCCTGCTGCAGAGGGCCTGTCGGCGCTGTCCCCAACAAGCATCAGGGCCGATAACGGCACCCCTTCCAGCCCCGGCGTGTCTGCCGGCCGCGGCGGCCTGCAGCCCCTCAGCCCAGCGGTTGTGGACGAGGGCGGACAGCAGGCGGCAGCGGCCGCTCCAATCACAAGTGCAGTGCCCTTCTTGGCGCCAGTGCCGGCGGCGCCGCAGGAGCGTGCAGAGCGAGCAGACGTGGCTGGTTGTGCGGCAGGTGGGCGGGGCATGAGGTCGGCGCATGCTTCCCAGCACCTGCACATGCAGCCAACGGAGGGAGACCTAGCGCCGGGGGCGGGTGCGGCCAGGGCAGCGGCGTGGGCTGGCGCAGCTGGCTGTCAGTTGGTTCGTGAGCTGCGCCAGATGCTCGTTGAGCTGGTTGCAAATTTCAGGGCCGCCGCCTGACAACAATCGCTGCCCTGCAGCCTTGCAAAGATAGCCGGCTCGTGTAGAGCAATCGCAACCCTCGGCTCAATATCTGCCTGACCTGCGCGGACGCAGGGGACCACTTGGCAGCGAATTCTGAACCGCTGGAGGCGCAAGAGGCGCACGCGGGGCACCATGGCGCGGGGCTGCTGGCGGGGCTCACGTCACCAGGTAAGCCGGCTGGAAAGGCATCTTTGTGAGCATGTCCAGTGGCAGGATAATGCTGGTGTGCATGACTTGCGTAGCTGTGTGTGTGTGTGTGTGTGTGTGTGTGTGTGTGTGTGTGTGTGTGTGTGTGTGTGTGTGTGTGTGTGTGTGTGTGTGTGTG